GGAGGTTCCTGTTTAATGGATTGGGATATCAATATCTACGAGTGGTTCGAGTTGCCAAGAGGGCAGTATGGTGAAGCTCGGCAAGAGCGAAGAGACTAGGTAAGAAATAGGTTCAGAAGAGATGCTTCTTACTACGTTTTGCTAGGGAAACGAGTAGGGAAGTCCACGATTTGAGTGTAGAATTGGGCAATGGAAAAATTTAATGTCTATATACCGGCAAAATCAGTGCCTTTAGAATGTGTCAGTCACGTGTCGTAGTGAGCATTAAAGTCACTGAAGACAAAGATGTTTGTAGATGGATGGAGAGAAGGTGTCTTTTCTAGACTGTCAGCTATATACAGCAGTCTTGGGAAGAGTGGGGGCGATAAAGGAAAAAGAGGTAGCTGATAGAGTTTAATAGCGAAAGAAAGAAGCACGTGAAAGAGTAGTCTGCAGCCTCAAGAGACAATTCCCTGGCTATCGGAAAGAAAACTCAGATGTAAACGTGGGTGAGTCAATAAGTTATGCATTTTGTTTTATTACATAAGAAATAAGGAACATAATCAAAAACATTGTACATCAAGATATAGCCATACATCACAGGTTCACCTCCTACTTCTTAACATAGTCAATGGCAGTGCTCTTCCTACAAATGCGAGCATGTATCCCAGCTTCGTAAAACACTTTAGCCTAAAGACAGGCACTGAGGAGTAAAACGTTATGGCAGTGATGAAGAAATTAAGAAATTGTTTACATTAATAGCCAATTGAGTTTTACGAAGGTGAGATACATGTTCTTATACATGTCTGGGATACATACCCCATTCTCATGTTGAGAAGTAGGGATGTGAACATGTGATGTATAGCTATACGTTGATACACGATATGTTTGTTTGTGTTGCTTATTTATCATCTAATAAAACAAATTGCATTACTTTTTGACTCGACCTCGTATTTATTTCCCTGCATAGACGATTTTGAATTCTATCGAGACTAGTAAGTAAGGATTGACGGGTTTCAGTTTATATATGACAGTATTAGTCTATTGATGGATATTGTCTGTTGAACAGATTTCGACTCGTATAAGAACAAAAATTGTTTGAACTTAAAATACAAACCTTCTGTCCGTAGGTTTCGGCAAATTCTACCCATACCTCAGAAGCTGCATGTATCATTGAAAACGACACTTCAATATTTTTTTTTTACTGTTACCTCTATCTTAATAAGTATAAGTAAGATATCGTGCGTTAAACATATATTTTCATGATATGCCTCGTCAGGACATAGGCGATCATGTCTATCCAGAATTTCCTTTAATTTATTATCTATCAATTATGATGCTTTCATAGGAAAGATAATGGAGTAACTTCCATTCTTTTCTCTATGCTTTTTTAAATTCAGAGGCACTGGTGCAAAAGTAAATGCAGTTTTGAACTTTTTGAGCCGATATTCATTAACATCACTTAATATAAACATTTATATTAAATATATATATATATATATATATATATATATATATATATATATATATAAAAGAAATATGTTGTAGTGGTTCCAACGAGAAAAGTATGTATATTAAAAACTGCCGCAAACGTTTTTGGTTGTAATTGGATTTTTGAGAAAAAATATTATACGTTTAATAAAACAAAGTCTCATTAGGTATTTTAATTATAAATGATGGACGTTGTTTACGTTTTAAACAAAACAATGATGGACGTTGTTTATTAAACGTCGAAACAAAATGTACAATTTTGTAGTAGTTACATACATGTTCTAATGTAACAGTGTATAATAAATATTTATTGCTCTACTCTTGTATTGAGCCCTGTTTTAGATTAATGTTTTGAACGTTGGAATATTATTCTTCGTTCTTTTACATTTGCATGTATATTTATATATAAATATGTGTGTGTGTGTGTGTGTGTTTATGTGTGTGTGTGTGTCTGTGTGTGTGTACAAATTTCATTAAAGACACGACGAATCTTTTTGTGTTAATTCAACTCAAAATAATAGAAATTTATATTTACTAAAATTCACACTATAATTCAGAAATGAGTCCCGAACATGGACCTATACTTTATTTTGGCGTCCCGCCAGTTACTTTCGATTGTTTGCGTGTGAACTGATGTTTCTGGGTCAGCGAAATTCATACTATGATTTACAGTCAAATGAATATAAACTAGAATCATCCTTTAAAAATGTATAGCCTTTTCAACAATGCGATATAATCGTAGTCCCAGGTAAAATACACCTTTGGATTGTGTCTAATAATGTGGAGGCAACTCCAGCAATTTCATGATCAGCTAAATAAATTTTGATTTAAAATTTATAATTTCAAAAGAGTGCTAAAAGCTTAATAATAAAAAAAAAAAAAAAAAAAAACCAAAAACAAATAAACTTTAATTTAAAATTTATAATTTCTTGGGGTGGATTAATATTTGTGATAATTAACTTTATATTATTTGGGATGAATGAACAGAAATGATCAATTTATCTTGTGTTCGCATAAGTGATTTCTTTTCTGGATATAGAGTATGTAAAAAAAAATGTGCAATTGTTCTATATATTTGAGCGCTTTCAAGAAAATTCACGTTGCATCTCTCTGACGATAGCTTAATTAAGACTCATTTAAATGCACATTGAAACTTGCCAAAATCCATCTGCACATATTCGCATAAAATACTAATGTAATGTCTCACCCACATGTTAAAAAAAGGCTAAAAATAATGAAAAAGGAAAAGCCAACACTCAATAGTATCAACTATAAACACGGCTACAACGTGCTGACCGTGTTTGGAAAATAATAATAATAATGATGATGATAATAATAAATAACATCCCTATCACTCCAAATACATATAGAAAAATCTACACATCCAGTTAAAAAATTAAAATAAAAAAAACATCTTTGAAAATGGCTGACAGAATAGTCGAAAGTGTTCAAATATATTGAATAATTGGACAGTTTTACACTTTATATCCAGAAAAGAAATCATTTACATGAACAAAATCTCTATCTATAAAAGGCAGGATGTGTGTGTGTGTTTGTGTGTGTGTTTGTAACGAATGCAAGGTCGCAATTATCGACGAATTTGCACCAAAATTTACATGTACATGCTCCAAGTTAGCGAGAAGACCAAGACTGACTTTGCATTTCCCAATTCCCATCGATAGTGGAAATAATCGATTTTTTCATGCTTCTACGACAGTTTTCACATTAGTTTCCGGCAATTTTGTACTGGCCAGAGTGAGAGCCAATAGCTGGCTGCCACGAATAGGCAGGAAGATTCTATTGGCCAGCGTGCGAGCCAACAGCTGACTGACACGAATATTAACAAACATGCTAGCATGCAAAAAAAAAAAAAAAAAAAAAAAAAATCGATAGCTGCATTCGTCACAAGTGGGGAAAATTTAAATCTGCATAGCACTTTACTCCAATTGGCTCATTCGCTTGCTTAAACTCAACGTTGATTCTGATTCCGCAGAACTGGGTTGGGTGTGAAAAAGTATTTGTTGTTAACATTCTTTTTCATTCAGTTTTTCAAGTTACGAGTCCTTTTTTTTAAAGCTGATCGTTTTGTGTTCATTTTCTTTAGTTCTTTTTTTTCATAACAGATTTAATGTTTAGTATAAATTCGCAGTGTGAGATAGGCAAGAAGTAAGGCATGTAGCAACATCAGCACGGCAAAGTGATAGCGATTGCTGTATGAGTCGTACGATTTTTGAATCAAACACGGGCAACGCTGGGCTAGTATCTAATAAAATGCTTAATCACGGTACCTTGTCTGTTGTCTTTAACGAAACTTATATAAAAAAATAGATTTCTGCACAGACACACACACACACACACACACACACACACACACACACACACACACACACACACACATATATATATATATATATATATATATATATATATATATGCGGGTAGTAATCCGTTCTTATAATCAAAGCGAGTGCCACTAACACAATATAGAATTTGAAATATTAAATATTAAATATTAAAACTGACTCACAAAGAGCACTCAATGTTTATTATCATTAAACAGAGCAAAATTTTTCTTACAACTGGAATTACCATTAGTTAATGACCATTTTCACCTACGAATTTTAAAATTAAAAATTCGCTGGATTTCTCAAACTGTTTATTATGTCAGTATGTAGAAGGGAACTGGTTAGTTGGGTAAGGAAAGTGAGAGAGAGAGAGAGAGAGAGAGAGAGAGAGAGAGAGAACGTCAGAGGGGACAAAGTGGAAGAGATGACAGAAGAAGGCATAGTTACAGGATGTAATGTGGGGTAATATATTATGGAGGTAGGAGTGGACAGGTCGAGAGAAGGGGAACCCGATGAGCTGACCTACATCTTAATGGTCACACCGGCTAAAGTTTAATTCAACGGGAATTCACAGAAATTAATTTAAAAATTAAAAACCTAATTCATATAAAATATCAAGAGATAACCATATATATATATATATATATATATATATATATATATATATATATATATATATATATATATATACGCACAAAGTTGTTCCGAAAATAAATCATCCTATTTTTTTATGTGGGGTGACGACGTCAGGAGCAGATGTTGGTGGTATGACTGTAGATGTTGAACCTTACCACAAATAAACCGCATTTGCATCTGTTTCTGCAGTTACGGATTTACAGAAAAGCGTGGGCAGAACACGTGAGTAAACAAAAAGTGCTAAAGATAATGCGAACTGGAAAGACACTCGTGCTTAAAATCAGAAACCAGACAGTTGCAATTTCTGGGGTATCTAATGAGGAAAGAAGGCTTGGAAAACTTAACACTCACAGGATATATTGAGGGTAGGAGAGTAAGGAAGAAATCGCGAGCAACTTGCCTAAAGAGCTTATGTAAATGGATGGCAGAGCAGGGACAAGGAGGAACGGTAAGTTATGACAGGAAGTTCTGGAGAGTCATGAGCTTCCTGAAGGGAAAAGGCTCATATATTTGACCATCTTCGCACTCTGCATCCTACTTTTTTGAGGTTTACGACCACATCACGTTGATACACCGATTCCCGTACGATCACCGAAGTTAAGCAACGTCGAGCCTGGTTAGTATCTAGATGAGTGACCGTTGGGAATACCAGGTCCTGTAAGCTTGGATGTACGGTTGATAATCGGAGAGCCGTTTTCCAATTCCAGTTGGGTTCGTTATATTCACATACGCGTGAATAACATTGCAAAAGGTATGAATCCACATCTTCTCCTCTCATCTATGGGTTAATTAGTAAGAATTGTATCACTAAATCCTTATTATCCCCGCCTTACAAAAAACAAAACAAAAAAACTCTACAATGTAAAAATATTTTCTGGGTTAAATAACCTTCAAAGAGTTGATAAACTGTAGAAAACTGAATCAATCTAGTAATATATTTTAAACTCAAAATATCAATATATATATATATATATATATATATATATATATATATATATATATATATATATATATATATATATATATATATATATATATATATATATATATATGGGGAGAGAGAGAGAGAGACAGACAGACAGACAGACAGACAGACAGACAGACAGACCCAGTACTACCTGCTGCATTTTCGGGTCATCGTCAAATAAACTAAATTTTATTGACATCTCTCTGCAGTTCTTTGTTGAAGCGGTTTTTGATCAAGCAGAGGAATATGTCATAAAGCAAGAGGAATATGACTTGTATAAAAGTCATTGTTATTCTCCCAAAATTGTTAGTGCAATAATTATTTGCAAAGAAAGAATTATTCGTATAATCCAAAGTATGTTTAGGCTTTAAGTACCCAAAAATGGGCTGATAAACCGTAAAAAATCAAATCTAATCTTGCAGTCGTCACAAAGAATGCTTTCTTTATCCTCAAGCTCTTATCGAAAGCATAAACACAAGGGTAGAAAAAGTCGTTGAAACGACAGAAGAGTCCATCATATATATATATATATATATATATATATATATGTATGTATGTGTGTGTGTGTGTGTGTGTGTGTTGTGTATGTGTGCGTCTGTGTGTGTGAGTGAAATTAGGAGATCAGCGGATTCCACTACCTTGGCTTCCACCTTTCGGCAACTTCAGACGATTCCCGTCAATTGATTTCCTAACACTTACTTTTTTTAAAAAAAAATTAATGAACCCTTTATTATTGACGTGTAATAGAAGGAGAGGAGGTGGAGGAGGAGAAAAGCAAGGGTATTGGAAAAGTATCGGTGGTGTAGTAAATGAAATGTACATACTTTCTTTTCATCCTGGTTCATATGAACTCAAAAGGAACTTTTTAGTGTGTGCGTAACGAGTCATAATTTCCGATCTTTCATTCAAAAAGTTTTTTGGTCTGGAAATGTTATTATTGCTAAATTTTCTTGTTGACAAAGTTTGCAGATATTACTATGATTGCTGTAAGGTCTGTCTTTTTTGTAAACTGGACAATTTAAAAAAAAAACCAAACCTGTGAAAATATAGTTAAAGTATGTTTGCTGTTCTCACATCACGTTGAATCTTGAATTGATTGTTTACTTCTTTTCTCAGACTACTCCATTTGTGCTACTGGTATTACGTAACCAATAATGGTATCCCAAATTCCCAGGAACCGGTTATATAAAGACAGGCAATCATTAGGAACTTATATTATTTCCTAGACTGAAGAAGGGATCTGTGGTTAAGGCAAGCCTGCGAGCCGGAGGACATCGGCTGTAGTTTGACATGGGCTCTTTTTTAAAAAATCATACCACCTCCAAGCAAGGCGGAAATGCCACTAGTACGCGTGGGTTTACGGGGAGTAAAACGAGAGATGATCGAGGAACGGACAAAAGATGAACGTGATTCAAGAAGGCAGAAGATGGCGATTGACATTGCATTTACATTTTTGAAGATTGTAGTTATCAGTGGAGCAGGCAAACAGAAGGGGTTTCTACAGTGCAAGAAAAGAAATTGTTGGACTAGAAGAGGCTGTTGCACTTCGCTATTTCAACAGTAAACAGGTGGGACCTAGATGCCAATCTAGTAGGCACGCTTAAATTCACGTAGTTGGGGCACCAGGGAAAGAAAAAAAAACTCGTCAGAGCAGTTGCCAGGAAAATATTTGTAGAAAAGACAGAGGGAAGCCACGCCATGTTGGTGAGAAAGTGACTGAAGTCGAGATGCCAAGTCAGGATCGATTACATTGCAGATCCTTCTTTGGATTTTGTCAAGGACCTCGAGATTAATAGCAGAAGAACCAGATCAAACATCGTATCAGTATTCAATGCATTCGCGAATTTGTAAATGTGCAAGATGGATTCTGACAAGAAAAATAATCTAGCTTGACACAGTGACACAACTTTCCATGCAGTAGATGCAACTATTGATTCGATGTAGTCGCTCAACTTCAAGTCTGTCGAAAACGTGAGGCCAAGAAGGAGCAGTATGTTGCTCTCCGGGAGTCTAGCGATAGCCATGCTGATGGCAGGTAGAAAATCTCCTCTGCCAAATATACTTGTCCAATACATTCTATGCATGAACAAAAGCCTCTTTAGACTTCAACTTAAATATGTGGAGGGAACTGATTAGGCGCTCAGTTGCGCAGGGACACTACGACCACATTTGGTCATGGGACTTATAGGGTGATGTTTATGACGATTCTTCAAAATTTTAATTGCAAACATGGTTATCTTTGGGTTATGAAAATGCCTGCTTCTTTATTCGAACCCTTATCATTACCTCTCTCGTTGTCTTAGTTATGTGTCGCATCCCGATTATCTTAGTGACTCACCGCTGAAATAGAATTTTGCAATCATTGTCATTCAGAGGAGCCAGATGCATCGACAGGTTGACCTGAGTGATAACCTCCTAGCAGCAGGTACAAATCCGAGCCTTACCTGATATCAGTGACTGCCCGCGAAATATAAACACGCAATCGACCCAGCTATGCGTAGACTGTGCAAACGTGGTGAAAACCGCATGAAACTTAGATATATAAACACTCACTCCAGAAGAAAAAGATGCATATACATCCACACGAGAATATAGAATCCACGTTTAGTGAAGAACTCAAAGCCACACACCGACTGATCGATGGTGATTGACGAAATCTAGAGGTGAATGAAGCAACAAAAATGTTGAACTACAGAATGATGCTGGGAATATCATGAGTAGAGCATGTAAACATCGAGAAAGTTTTAAGGAAAGTTGAAACAAAAAGTTCACTTATACTTAAAAATGGAAAAAGTATGGAAAACATAATGAGGAATGAAGGCTTGGAAAATTTTGACACTTATGGATTATACTGAGGGAACAAGGTCAAAACAGTCAGTAACCTACAAACGAGCTTGTGAACAGGGAGTGTGACGGATAGTCAAAAGACAGACATTGCTAAGAGCTGCAAATGATAGGAAGTTGTGGAGAGCTATGATCACCTGCGTTCTAAAGGGACAGGACACACAAAAAAGAATATAGCTCTGAAAGGAACACCAAGAAAAAAGCCCCCAAATCAGAAATAATGCTAATTTTGCATTTGGAAATTTGATTTGATTTGCATCAGGAGATGAAAATTCCAAAACACGAAGTAATATTATCTGTCTATATTTCTGAGATGATGTATTATGTACATTATTTACATTATTCGGACTATTGTCCTCATCTTTGTTGCCATATTTATCACAATGTTCCCGCCGTTGTACGCTCTGGGCTTCTTCCAACCACCTGAAGAAGGCCGGAGCGTACAACGGCCAAAACATTGTGATAATTATGGCAACAAAGATGAGGACAATAGTCCGAATAATGTAAAGATTGTACAAAGTATCATTTTCTTAAATATATGAGAAAGCAAATTTGTTCAGTGATCAGGAAATGAAAGTTTTCTATATACTGGTATCGACGGATTTCAGTTGGAGCCAGTTCCGGATTTACATATGAGCTAGTATGGGCTATAGCTCAGGTCCCCAACACCAGAGGGACCCTCAATGGTCCTCTAGTCTTGAGCCCCTGATAAAACTAAAAACCTAAAATAAAATAAAGATGTAAGAACAGAGGAGATTTGTTTATTTGCAGATTTAATGGAGATCATTTGAACTAATTTGAAACAATTTAGAACATTTCGGTACTCCGACTTGAAGTTAGTCTTTTAAATTCGACGGACCCTATTCAAGAGGCACTATTTAGATTTTGATGCTTCTTTTTAATATGCATATAGATTTTGATGTAGCTTTTTGATATACATATAGATTTTGATGCATATTTTTAATATGCATATAAATTTTGAAGCATATTTTTAATGTATATAGATTTTTATGCATCTTTTTAATATGTATATAGATTTTGATGCATCTTTTTAATATATATAGATTTTGATGCATCTTTTTAATATTCATATAGATTTTGATGCATCTTTTTAATATGCATATAGATTTTGATGTTTTTAGTTTTGCATATTTTTGTTTACTTTGCTCAATGTTTGCTCAGTTTTACACTGCATTGAACAGAGACATGTAATGAGTGCAAAATTATTCAATATTTTATGTATATACAAATTAGACAAAATTTTATGTATATACAAATTAGACAAAATAGTGCAAAACAAGTAAAAAATTTAAAAAAAAAAAGAAAAATTGTGCAATTTTATATATTGTGGGGACGAACAAACGTAATTAAGGGGTTCCCAAATTCTTTTAGCCCAGCGGCCTCTTGTGTTGGAATACAAAAAGTGTAAAAATACCTCGCTTTTTTTCGTTATATATTCTGTCTGTGGCACCAGATCGGCGAACGTTTATCCAGATAGGAAAAGCGTTTAAGGGATCTTCTAGGCGATGAATCTTTTCTCACATTACAATCCCTCTCCCACAAATACAACATTGCAAGTCCCTCACTACACTGTCGCCCTTTTTTATGGGAAACGTTTTGATGAGCTATATTCCCTTAGGTCACGCAGTTCAGACATTTACAGCAAAGACCTGTCATGCCACTCAAGATAAAACTTTCCAAAAAGAAACTATGATCTGGAATTGGAATGAAAGCCGTTTTGGCACATACCCTGAATCTATCATAAAAAAAAAATAAGAATATGGAATTAGCAAATGGTAAACACTTCAAATATCTCGGCTCATGGATCAGCTATAACAAATTTAGTACAGG